AAGTGTCTTCTTCTTGGACCTGGCAATATGGTAACCCTAGCATCTGTCAATTCCCTTCACATCCTCCAAGTCAGTGGTAACCTATATTCTGTCAAAAAGGGGTGGAATAGAGGCAGATAAATTGAAAAGTTATTTATGCTGTTGTACTTGTCAGCAGAACTATGTATTTAAGCTGGGTACGGTAAAATATACTAGATGATTATGAACTTGGTTAAGAATCCTAACTGGATTATCTGGAATGTACCAGAGAGAGGGTTCAGAACCCTAATATGTGACCAGATTAGCTCAAAACATTAGGTTGCTAAGGCTAATAACTTTTACTCTTGAAAACCCCAGTTGAGAGACTTCTGACTATCTAGTGCAGTGATTAGTAAGATGAGATTCTTTGGGTAAATCAGTTATCTTTTATTAGACCAACATGAAGAAGAATTTTTCCAACTATTTGAGCTGTTCTAATAAAAGAGATCAGATTTACCCAAAGAACCTAGTCTACCTATGTCCTTAGACCAACATGGCTACATACCCATGATTAGTAAGGGCGTTGTTAACTTAATAGCATTTATATAAATTTACCATGGATTTACCACATACTGTAGGTTAGTCCCAGCTTTGTCCCAGGAGCCCATGGATATTTACTGTAGTATTAGAAATGTGTATGTTTATCTGTAGTCATATTTTTTTACATGAAGGAAGATGCATAGGATTCAGGTTTGATGCATAAGGTGTAAATTAACTGCTTTAAGACTTGGGCCATGGACAGATATTTGTAGGACTACAAACATATTTGCAGATTGCCCTAACCTTGTGCATTACCCCCATATGCAGTGAAGTTCTACTGACTGTCTTGATTGTTTTTTGATGACTAGATACCTAGTCATTCTTCATGAATGCAAACCACACCTCTTGAGAGCGTTCTCCATTGGAAACTCCATGAAGGGAACCTCTTGTAATATTATTTACATAAATTAGGGGGAAAATAGTTGAGAAGTGCCAAGTGAGAAAGTGATTCTTAGTTGTGCATTAAATAATGTCATAATCTGTTAATGAGACTGCCAAATATTTAAAAAGAGAATACATAAAATTAAAAGATAAAGAAGTTCATTCTGTTTTTATTTTTCAGAACAAGATAAAATACATTTTCAGGCCACCGTGTCCAGATTTTTCATATTTTATATAAAAGTTGTTTTATATTTTGTAAAATAAGTTAAATTCAAGTCAGTATGATTTAAATGGTATTGAATGGGTATTGAACCCTGCGTAAGGTATTCCCCTTCTGGTAATTTCTGCTTGCATGGTATTCTTTCGATACACACTTTTAAATTATTTAGGTTTAGCAAAGATGGGAAGCATTTTTAACATGCCAACCATGGAAATCATGTAAATGAAATGTTGCTTTAGAAGCAGCACTTAAATACTGAAACCTAATTAATAAAGTTGTTTTCTGATAAAACACTTATTCGGAATGTTTGTCACTTTGTTAAAATGAAAGCCCTATTTCTGCAAATGTTTGAATCCATGTGGCTCTGCTTGCAAGATTTGGTCTATGTACTCTTTATAATTCACGTTTCAGATGATGAGCCATAAATTATCTTCAGCTTATACCCATTCCCATGGTGTTTGAAGGTGTTTAATACTTTGACTAATATCTGGAGTCTGCACTGGAAATGCTTACCTAATATCATTTATGGAATATTATTTCCCTTTTTAACAGTATAACCCTTCTACAGATGAGTTTTTCTGTCAAATGTGCTCTGTTGGTATATCTTTATTTTGTTCAGGATGTAGATGTAACTATACTGGTACAAGCATACTTTTGCCCATATTAGCTGCCAACCCATTAGAAGGGTTTGTCACTGTAGCTCTACATGACCCCTGAATAAAATCAGTTTATACTTGTAAAAACCTTTTTTGATAATGTAAGATGACTAGCAGCATAGGGGAGTGTATAGACATAATTGGATACCACAAATACTTTAATCATTGTGCACATCCAGTGAAATAAATGGAAAATATATTTTGAAGTCTGGTGGAATTTTAAATAATGTTTGTTTTCTTCCTCCTATTTTAGCCAGAAAGTGAAATTTCTACTACGGTTGAAGATTATAGTTCGGAGGTAAGAGTAATGTAACATTTTTAAAAATGTCACATTGAATCATTGTCAAGTTTAAATATTTCGGTTTTCCAAAATGAAAGAAAGAAAAGTCATAAAGGATTAGTTTGAAATGTTAAAAGCAGGTAACATTCCATGTCACTTGTAACATCTAAACCACTGTTAAGTCACAGCTAAATAAACAGTATGTCAAATAAATAATAGGATGGGTACTATGGTTAATTAGAGTGGTAAGTTTGCAAACCAATGTAATAATTTCTTCACTTCAGTTTCATCTTAATTTTTTGTGATACCATTCATAGTTCTAACTATGCAACTGTTTTTCTCTGTTCATTGTCTTTGGAGAATTAAATGCCAAGAGTATTTTTAATTTCCAAATAATGGGGAAACCACTGGTTTGTTTAAATATAAGAAAAAATACCATGCAAGGCTGTTATCTGGTTCATACTTACGCCATTGTCAGTATTGTCTTTGACTTAAATAGGAAAAGGATGATGTCCTTAATAGTTTCATGCTAATAAGCTATTAATTTTATTACCCCTTGATGATTCCTCAAAAACTGTATAATAGTTTCTTTGGTCAGTTGTTGGAGGTTATAGCTGAAGCTGAGTGCAGACATTGGTAGGGGTTAGGAGGAAGCTAGAACATGTTAAAAATGGCCAGGCAATTTAACTTAATTCACCCTGGTGCAGACCTTGCATTTGGACCCGGTCTTAGTGATTAGAAATCAATATAAGCCTGTAATGGTACAGAAGTTCCACACACATAGACAGGTCTAAAAATCGCAGAACCCAGTCTAAGGTAAACCTAGATTGATGTACGCTCAAACTTAAACAATCTAGGTTAGATTGGTGCATCAAGCTTCAGTACATTACCTGCATAGCCCTAGGGCTGGGAAAGGCCAGCCACTGGCCCCAACCACCAGCTGCACTTTACCTACCTACCTGCCCCTCCCCTGGCACCAAACTATTTTTAGTGCCCCCCCCCCAGCCCTTGTCCTCCACCATGGACCAGCCAGGCCCCCCCATCCCACAATCCACTCCAGGTGCTAGTTTTATCAACACTCACTGCTGCTGCTGGAAGCCAAGGAAGTAAGTCCTGGTGTGGGGAGGGATGGGGGCGTTGATTTGCTGGGCAGGGCTAAAAATTTCCTCTGGTCCACACAACCCCAAGTTCCCTGTGGACCCTGTGAGACTTCTGATCCTGCCCCCCCCCCCC